AATGAAACGAAAAAAAATTGTTCAAACTTTGATTTTTGACGTTTTACAGATAAAACAGGAACTAAGCTAAAAATTGTATGCAAAACATCGCTCAAACTTCAATTTTTCACGTTTTACTGTTGATCATTTTTTGATTCTTTTTCGATGGATATAAAACTGGAACTGGGCAAAAGATGAAATGAAAAGAAAATCGCTCAAACTTCGATTTTTGACGGTTTAGAGATAAAACTGGAACCAAGCAAAAAATTTTACGCAAAACATCGCTCAAACTTAAATTTTTCACGTTTTACTGTTGATCATTTTTTTATTCTTCTTCGATGGGTATAAAACTGGAACTGGGCAAAAAATGAAACGAAAAAAACCGCTAACACTTCGATTTTTTACGTTTTAGAGATAAAACTGGAACTAAGCAAAAAATTTTAAGCCAAACATCGCTCAAACTTCCATTTTTAACGTTTTACTGTTGATCATTTTTTTATTCTTCTTCGATGGGTATAAAACTGGAACTGGGCAAAAAATGAAACGAAAAAAAATCGCTAAAACTTAGATTTTTGACGTTTTAGAGACAAAACTGGAACTAAGCAAAAAATTGAACGCAAAAAATCGCACAAACTTCAATTTTGGACATTTTACTGCTGATCTTTTTTCATTCTTCTTTGATGGGTATAAAACTGGAACTGGGCAAAAAATGAAACGAAAAAATCGCTAACACTTCGATTTTTTACGTTTTAGAGATAAAACTGGAACTAAGCAAAAAATTTTACGCCAAACATCGCTCAAACTTCCATTTTTAACGTTTTACTGTTGATCATTTTTTTATTCTTCTTCGATGGGTATAAAACTGGAACTGGGCAAAAAATGAAACGAAAAAAAATCGCTAAAACTTAGATTTTTGACGTTTTAGAGACAAAACTGGAACTAAGCAAAAAATTGAACGCAAAAAATCGCACAAACTTCAATTTTGGACATTTTACTGCTGATCTTTTTTCATTCTTCTTTGATGGGTATAAAACTGGAACTGGGCAAAAAATGAAACGAAAAAATCGCTAACACTTCGATTTTTTACGTTTTAGAGATAAAACTGGAACTAAGCAAAAAATTTTACGCCAAACATCGCTCAAACTTCCATTTTTAACGTTTTACTGTTGATCATTTTTTATTCTTCTTCGATGGGTATAAAACTGGAACTGGGCAAAAAATGAAACGAAAAAAAAATCGCTAAAACTTAGATTTTTGACGTTTTAGAGACAAAACTGGAACTAAGCAAAAAATTGAACGCAAAAAATCGCACAAACTTCAATTTTGGACATTTTACTGCTGATCTTTTTTCATTCTTCTTTGATGGGTATAAAACTGGAACTGGCAAAAAATGAAACGAAAAAATCGCTAAAACTTCGATTTTTGATGTTTTACAGATAAAACTGGAACTAAGCAAAAAATTTTACGCAAAACATCGCTCAAACTTCAATTTTTAACGTTTTACTGTTGATTATTTTTTTATTCTTCTTCGATGGATATCAAACTGGAACTGGACAAAAGATGAAACAAAAAGAAAAATTGCAAAAACTCCGATTTTTGACGTGTTAGAGACTTCTGATCATTTTTTAATTCTGCTTTGATGGATATATGGCTGGAACTGGGCAAAAAATGAAAGGATAACAAATCGTTCAAACTTCGATTTTTGACGTTTTAGAGACAAAACTGGAACTAAGCAAAAAATTTAACGCAAAAAATCGCACAAACTTCAATTTTGGACATTTTACTGCTGATCTTTTTTCATTCTTCTTTGATGGGTATAAAACTGGAACTGGCAAAAAATGAAACGAAAAAATCGCTAAAACTTCGATTTTTGATGTTTTACAGATAAAACTGGAACTAAGCAAAAAATTTTACGCAAAACATCGCTCAAACTTCAATTTTTAACGTTTTACTGTTGATTATTTTTTTATTCTTCTTCGATGGATATCAAACTGGAACTGGACAAAAGATGAAACAAAAAGAAAAATTGCAAAAACTTCGATTTTTGACGTGTTAGAGACTTCTGATCATTTTTTAATTCTGCTTTGATGGATATAAGGCTGGAACTGGGCAAAAAATGAAAGGATAACAAATCGTTCAAACTTCGATTTTTGACGTTTTAGAGACAAAACTGGAACTAAGCAAAAAATTTAACGCAAAAAATCGCACAAACTTCAATTTTGGACATTTACTGCTGATCTTTTTTTCATTCTTCTTTGATGGGTATAAAACTGGAACTGAGCAAAAAATGAAACGAAAAAAAATCGCTAAAACTTCGATTTTTGACGTTTTAGAGATAAAACTGGAACTAAGCAAAAAATTTTACGCAAAAAATCGCACAAACTTCAATTTTGGACATTTTACTGCTGATCTTTTTTTCATTCTTCTTTGATGGGTATAAAACTGGAACTGGGCAAAAAATGAAACGAAAAAAAATCGCTAAAACTTCGATTTTTGACGTTTTAGAGATAAAACTGGAACTAAGCAAAAAAATTTACGCAAAACATCGCTCAAACTTCAATTTTTAACGTTTTACTGTTGATCATTTTTTGATTCTTCTTCGATGGATATAAAACTGGAACTGGGCAAAAGATGAAGTGAAAAGAAAATCGCTCAAACTTCGATTTTTGACGTTTTAGAGATAAAACTGGAACTAAGCAAAAAATTTTACGCAAAAAATCGCACAATTTTCAATTTTGGACATTTTACTGCTGATCTTTTTTTCATTCTTCTTTGATGGGTATAAAACTGGAACTGGGCAAAAAATGAAACGAAAAAAAATCGCTAAAACTTCGATTTTTGACGTTTTAGAGACAAAACAGGACCTAAGCAAAAAATCGCACAAACTTCAATTTTGGACATTTTACTGCTGATCTTTTTTTCATTCTTCTTTGATGGGTATAAAACTGGAACTGGGTAAAAAATGAAACGAAAAAAAATCGCTAAAACTTCGATTTTTGACGTTTTAGAGATAAAATTGGAACTAAGCAAAAAATTTTACGTAAAAAATCGCACAAACTTCAATTTTGGACATTTTACTGCTGATCTTTTTTTCATTCTTCTTTGATGGGTATAAAACTGGAACTGGGCAAAAAATTAAACAAAAAAAATCGCTAAAACTTCGATTTTTGACGTTTTAGAGACAAAACAGGAACCAAGCAAAAAATTTAACGCAAAAAATCGCACAAAGTTCAATTTTGGACATTTTACTGCTGATCTTTTTTTCATTCTTCTTAGCTGGGTATAAAACTGGAACTGGGCAAAAAATGAAACGAAAAAAAATCGCTAAAACTTCGATTTTTGACGTTTTAGAGACAAAACTGGAACTAAGTAAAAAATTTAACGCAAAAAATCGCACAAACTTCAATTTTGGACATTTTACTGCCGATCTTTTTTTCATTCTTCCTTGATGGGTATAAAACTGCAACTGGGCAAAAAATGAAACGAAAAAAATCGCTAAAACTTCGATTTTTGACGTTTTACAGATAAAACTGGAACTAAGCAAAAAAATGTACGCCAAACATCGCTCAAACTTCAATTATTAACGTTTTACTGTTGATCATTTTTTTATTCTTCTTCGATGGATATCAAACTGGAACTGGACAAAAGATGAAACAAAAAGAAAAATTGCAAAAACTTCGATTTCTGACGTGTTAGAGATTCCTGATTATTTTGAATTCTTCTTTGATGGATATAAAACTGGCACTGGGCAAAAGATGAAATGAAAAGAAAATCGCTCAAACTTCGATTTTTGATGTTTTAGTGACATAAAACCGGAACTAAGCAAAAAATTTAACGCAAAAAATCGTTCAAATTCCAATTTTGGACGTTTCACTGCTGATCATTTTTTAATTGTTCTTTGATGGATATAAAACTGGAACTGGGCAAACAATAAAACGAAAAGAAAAATCGCTCCAATTTCGATTTTTGACGCTTTGGAGACTTCTGATCATTTTTTAATTCTTCTTTGATGGATATAAAACTGGGACTGGGAAAAAATGAAACGAAAAGACGCAAAAAAATCGCCCAACTTCGATTTTTAACGTTTTAGTGTTGATCATTTTGGAATTGCGCAAACAATGAAACTAAAAAAAAAAATCGCTTAAACTTCGATTTGTGACGTTTTAGAGACTCCTCATCATTTTTAATTCTTCTTTGATGGGCATAAAGCTAGAACTAACCAAAAAAATATAACGCAAAAAAATCGCTCAAACTTCGATTTTGGACATTTTACTGCTGACGATTTTTTAATTCTTCTTTGATGGATATAAAACTGGAACAGGGCAAAATATGAAACGAAAAAAATTCGCACAAACTTCGATTTTTGGCGTTTTAGAGAATCATGATCATTTTTAATTCTCCTTTGATGGACATAAAACTGGAACTAAGCAAAAAATTTAACGCAAAAAATCGCTCAAACTTCGATTTAGGACATTTTACTGCTGATCATTTTTTAATTCTTCTTTGATGGGTATAAAACTGGAACTGGGTAAAAAACATAACGCAAAAAAAATTGCTCAAACTTCGATTTTTGACGTTTTAGAGATTCCTGATTATTTGGAATTCTTCTTTGATGGATATACAACTGCAACTGGGACAAACAATGAAACGAAAAGAAAAATCGCTCAAACTTCGATTTTGACGTTTTAGAGACTCCTGATCATTTTTAATTCTTCTTTGATCGACATAAAACGGGAACTGGGGAAAAATGAAACGAAAAGAAAAATCGCTCAGCGAATTTGGCATTGAACAAATTCAAGTAGCTTACGCGTCAAGTAGCGGAATAGCTTATGCTAATCTTCACCCAATAAAAACGTTTTATTATTAATATTATTCATTGTAAAGTTATTAGAAAATTAATTCGTATTCTGTTTATGTCTATGTACTTCGTAATGCTATATTTCTCCTCAACCATCAGTCAGGTGGATGTTGTTGCATGGCAATCGTGCATTGGCTAGGGGTTGCTTATAGTCAAGACTCACCACCTTGTGGGAAGAATTGGGCGTAGATCATCTTGAAAGTCTCCTCCTTGACGAGTCCCGTGGGGCACTCGGCCTTGAACCCCCTGTATATCCTCTTGATTTCGTCGTGCGTGAAACGCGTCGCTCGACACAGCGCCTCGACGCTGTCAGGTCGGTAACGGGCCGGGCTCTCTAGTTCTTCGAGCTCGGAATCTGCAACAATCGAGTAGGGCGATTAGTTGAACGTCTTCAAAATACCCGTTAAAGAATGACTGATCGAAAAAACATTGGTTCTTCTGTCGCCAACAGGCTAGGGAACATCAAAGAAGATCGCACAATATGACATGTTAAGCTTATCCTGAGGTTTACATGTCAACTATTTTCCTCATCTTAATTTAATGAATACTTGAATATCCTATCAAGTAACGGATTTCTGTCCTATATAAACCTACCTACAAGGTCCATCAGTGGCACATGTATAGATCACTGCTTTGTGAAAGACCTATCCAACAAAATTACTTGTATACCAATAATCCTAGAAAGCGATATTACTGACCACTTCTCCACTATTTTACTGATATCTTCAAATGAAAAACATTCTAACATCCCTACCGTTAGTAACAACCAGGAAAATTACAAATTTTTTGTCGACAATTCAAAACTAATATCAAATGTCAAACAAGAATCCTGGGAACAATTATACTCTATAAATAATATAGACAAAGCAATGGGACTGTTCATAGAGAAAATAAAAAAACTAATAGATATTAGTACCAATAAAGTAATAATTAGTCACAAAGAGAAAAGCAGAAATGCCTGGATTACCAAAGGATTAATAACATCGGCAATAGAAAAAGAAAGACTATATAATGTAATGAAACTAACGCCAACTACAGAGACTACCGACTGCTACAACCAATATAAAAATAAATTTATAGAGCTTGTAAGGCAAACCAAACGAAAACATTACCTAAATAAATTGAATAATAACTTAAATGATCCTAAGCGGCTTTGGACAACTATTGATGAGATTACTGGGAAAACAAAAGTTAAAGAGTGTGTCACTGAGTTAAATTCAACATCGGGAACAGTATTAAAAAATACTCAACAGATATGCGATGAATTTGTACAATTCTTTACTGACATAGGCGAAAATTTAGCAAGTAATATACAAGCAAATGTACAAAATACTCAGCCTCCAAAAAGAACTTTGAACTCATTTATTTTGGATAATGTCGAGCAATGTGAAGTATACACCACTGTTATGTCCTTAAAAAATCGGAAAAGTCCTGGGTTCGATGGTATTAAAAGCGCGCATTTGAAAATTATAGCCGAGGACATAACAGAACCACTCACTTACCTAATCAACAAATGCTTTGAATCTGGCATATATCCCTCAATTTTAAAAAAAGGTAATATAATACCGATACATAAATCAGGAACAAAAACAGATGTTAACAACTATAGACCAATATCAATAATATCCAGTGTAGCAAAGGTTTTTGAAAAAGTTTTATCTACTAGAATGATTTGATACCTCATAAAATTCAAAATTTTAAGTGAAAATCAATATGGATTTACAGAAGGGAAGGCTACATCGGACGCAATAACTAAAATTGTAAATCAAATACATCAAAATATTGATAACAGAATCCCTTCAATCTGCATTTTTGTTGATTTAAATTAAAGCTTTCGACACAGTTAATCACAAATTATTATTAGAAGCATTGGAGAGAATTGGTTTCAGAGGAAACGCGTACTCACTGATCGAAAGTTATTTGTCAAATCGCCCACAATCTGTGCAGATATCAGGATCATTTAGTAAAGAAATGTCCGCTGTTATTCAATATATATTTAAATGATATTTTCGAAATTAATTGTGTTGGCAAAATAACTAGTTTTGCAGATGATACTGCAATATTATATGAAGGTACTGACTGGTCTGATCTGAAAAATGTAATTGAAAATGATTTTATCAAAATTATTCAGTGGTTTAACAGTAGAAAATTAAGCATTAACTACTCTAAAACACATTTTTTACCATTTGGATCTTATGCTAGACATCTGCCAAATTACACAAATTTCTCCTTCAATATTAATGATCAAAAAATGCAAATTAATAGAGTGCCCAACATAAAATACCTTGGAGTGGTCTTGGATCCTCACTTACGATGGGACATCCATGTCAATTATATTTTAAAGAAAGTTAGATTTGTATCCTACAAAATTAAATACCTTGGGAATATATTGACAGAAAAATATCTTCGAACATTATACCATGCACTGATTGAGCCTCATCGCACATAAATATGGTGTATTAGCATGGGGAGCTGCATGTTCCTCACATATCTATAATTTAGATGTTTTTCAAAAAAGTATTCTAAAAATAATATTTGAAAAACCGAAACTTTATCCCACTGAAAAATTATACGCAGATGTTCGAATGTATGATATAAGACAGCTATATTTCTTACACAGTATCACTCACTACCATAAATTTGTAAACACCGACCAAAAAATTAAACATAATCATTATACCAGATACAAAATTCGTGGCACAGTAGTTCCTCAACCGCATAAATCTATAATGCAGCAATCATATCTCTATTTAGCGCCTAAATTTTATGAAATTATACCTAAAGACTTAAAAGATTTACGTTTCGGAAATTGTTTCAAAAGAAATTTAAAAAAGTGGCTACATTCTATATCTAGGACTGAAATTCATAAACTCATAAATACGAACATCAACTAAATACATAATCTACTGTAGCTAATTTTTGTCGTTTTTTGTCATTTGCATTCTACAGTTTCAACTTAAATTATTGGTCCATGTACAGGCGATGCCTTCTATTGGGCCTGTTTTGATTTTATATTTATTTACTCATATTGTTTGTTATCTTTATACATTGAGTGAACAAATATTATTATTATTATTATTATTATTATTAATCACAAACTCGCAATTTTGAATTGCAAATGGTTTCTTGGTAGAAAAATTGTATGACAGCACCTGTCAGCAGTTTTTTCGAGTTTACCCGCGGCAAAACTTGACTGCTGTTGCCACTAAAAATTACAATAGCTTTGACAACAAGTAACTATGGTCTTCTTGGACACCAGAAAACGACGGTAAACAATTTTTCTGATTTTACTGTCAATAAATTTTGTAAGTGGACCCCCGATAATCCGGCGCCTGTCTAATCCGGCGCCCCCTATAATCCGACATGTCTTTGAATATGTATTACATACATACGTATTTGATAATGTAGATCACGCAGGTTTGAACAAGTTACAACTTGTACGCGCCACCGCTATCGTGCTCGACGCGTAAGCATTGTTTTACTTAGATTGAATTTGACTACTGGTGATAGCGGTACGGCCTAGCGTGCGTTCATTGTTTACTATTTATTCATTGTGTATTAAGTATAGTACCTAGTAATGTCATCACAAACTCGGAAGCGAAAGCACAAATCATTGACAATTAAAGAAAAATGTGATATTTTAGACCGCTTAAATCGCAATGAACGTTTTAAAAGTCGTCATGGGATACGTTTAATGACTATTACAGAAGAGAAACTTTCTAACGATGCCACCTGCATAGAGCCCTTTAAATTAAGTTTTTTGCAAAAGGTGAACGATTTAAATCTTGACCCGTCACAGGTGTACAATGCAGACGAATCGGGGGTTTTTTGGCGTATGATGCCTAACAAAACTTTCGTTTCTTGTAACGAAAAATCCGTACCTGGACGAATAGTAAGTAAAGAGCGTGTGACCATACTACCATGTGCTAACGCTGCGGGCACACACGCGCTTAAGATGATGGTCATTGGGAAATCTAATAAACCACGGGCATTCAAAAACATTGATTTACCTGTACACTATTTACAGACAAAAAAGTGCATGGATGACAAAAGACCTTTTCAAAAAGTGGTTTGATGAAAGCTTCGTACCTGATGTTAGAAAATGGTTAAAACATCATAATTTTCCTCAAAAAGCGTTGTTGCTTCTTGATAACGCTCCCGGTCATCCGTCTGAAGAAGAACTAACAACTGAGGATAAATGCATCACTGTGATGTTTCTTCCGCCAAATTGCACCGCACTGATTCAACCAATGGACCAGAATATCATTCAGTTTGTCAAGCAAGACTACAGGAAAAACCTACTTCTGAGAGCCGTATCAAAAGACCAACCAATAGAAAAGCTTTAAAAGAATTTAATATGAAAGACTTGGTTTTTGCTCTTTGTCAGTCGTGGAATGCGTTACCGTCATCAACTATTAAATCGTCTTGGAAAAAGTTATGGCCAGATATAGTCACCACTCCTAGCAACGTTCCACAAATCAGTGTTACTTCGGAAGTTATAGAACAAGTCGCTACTGAAACACAGATAAGTCCGGAAGATTTGGAAATCTGGTGCCGTGGAATGGATAAAGAGGAAAATGTTTTTCTTGAAATGTCTGACGAAGAGATTATAAAAGAGGTTTCTAATTATACAACAAACAATCAGGAAAATAACGACGACGTGATTGCCTCTGCTCCACAAGTCACAGCACAAGACGCAATTAACGCCTTTGAGCTAGGTTTACAATGGGCTGAAGAGAATGTTACATCCTACAACCAACTTTTACTTTTGAGAAGACTGAGGGACAAAGCTCTGATCTCGCGTTATAACAACTTTAAACAAAAAAAAAATTGATGAATATTTCCAAGCTTCATAATTTGATAAATTCATTAGTGATTTTGATTAATAATTCCTGATTATTTTGGTACATATGTATGTGCATTTATGCTTAATTGTATAATAAAACGTAAGCTCTCTATTTTTATTTCATTTACTAAATTCGACATACATAAACTATGTACGATTTGTGATTTGTCAAACTTGACACATATGCTTTATAGGTTGCATACCTTCTAATACAATGATATTTTTCAAACAACTATCGCCATCTCTAGGTCAGGCTGGGTACTTCTGGGACCACCCTCGTATCATAGACGAAATATCACATGAACATGGACATCAAGTTTTGCGGCTCCCCCCTTTCATTGTCAATACAACCCTATTGAGTCTGTTGAATAGCCAAACAGTACTTAGATCGACATGTTGGGCAAAATGGCTATCGTAACCAGGAAGCTTAGAAAGTTTGGGGCGATGCTCTAGCGAAAGTGACTCCTACAGTTTTGCTCAAGTGTGTGAAACATACCGAGAACTTGATT